TGTGGCTAATTTGACAGCTCCTGCGGACACACCAGCAAGATTATGTCACGGGTAGACCAACGTCGAACTGTTAACCACTTCGGTCTGGGGCTTTTGGGAAGACATTTTTCTTCTGGCCGAATTGAATTCGGCGCAAGGGTGGCAAAATGGAGTTACTTCCTGACACCAAAACTTCGGATTCGATCTTGAACGAATGCGGACAGCGTCTATAGCACAAAACCGGAAGTCCTCCAAATGCTGAATCTAGCATAATCTACCCAAAAGTGCCCATGTCAAAATTGATGACTTAGCAACCCTTAACGGCCCTTTGATCCAACGCCTGACATTTCGGACGAGCGGTGCCTGGCTCCGGAGGCTGACTTCAGCCTCAGCGGTCCACTAGCTTCGCGGAAGCCACTGGTCCAAGCGTCGCTTCAAAGATTCTTTGAATAAAATCCTTTCCGTCCTTTCCCTTCAAGATCCTGTATTTTGATGTTCTGATTTTCTCCATATTTCTTCAGACTTTGATTTTTGAATTTGCACATTTGACATATCTGTTTTGGATTGTGACACTTGCTTTGTAACGTTCCAGGCCAGACGCCGAAAAAGTGGTGGAGGCTATGGGAGGCTCCTTCGATTCACAGAGATGGCTGTCACGGTGATGTCACGGTGATGTCACGGTGATGTCACGGTGATGTCACGGTGATGTCATGGTGATGTCACGGTGTCCGAATGTTCCTTCGAATATTTGGAATGTTTCCAGTGGACCCTTCTGACGTTTTCAAGGCCTCGAGGGTCACGCATCGGACTGATCCTGGGACGCTTTGCATAGACCTGGAAGCTTGGCCCTGCCCTCGTCTCAAGAGATCTCAAGAGAGATCAAAAGATTAGACTGCTTAAACTATCTTAAACTTGTTCATAGACGGTGCAGAGACCTCTTGGCCTGGTTGAAACTCTCCAAGGATGCTTACGGAGTCCACAATGTCCGTCCACAATGTTTCACTGGAGGGTTGCTGGTTTTGTCTCACCGAAAAAAATGCGGTTTCGTTGCGTCTCTATATTGTGGCAATCTCAGGCAATGTTGAAGGTGCGGTGCTTTCAAACTTCTAATTAGATGCAGAAGATACCTGAAGGCTACATTTTCGGCACTTCTTGCTTGGTCGCTGGCAATTTGTTCAGAGGCCATCAGATAGAATCAAGTTTCCTGGAAATGTTGGAGCACTTGCTCTTGTTGACATAATCGCAAACTGGTGCCAATCAAAAATAATTCGATCTCTTCGCTTTGCAAAGGATTGTGTGTTCATTCTATCCTCTTCCTTTTCGTCGCGCAACATTTATGCATGTTGTGACTTCGGACTAGCATTTGGCCCGTGCTTCAGAAGATTGATTGCATACATGCATGAAAGCCAACCTTTTGAATATTGAGACGAATTGCAGTTAGATTTTTGAGTGAACATGATTTGCCCTGTACCTGTACAGCCTCTTGTATTAATTGTTGCAACTCAGAGAGCTTCACAATGCATTGCCACAGAAGGTCTTGTCAAGTCGGGAGGATGGAACAAAGCCACGATGGAACAAAGCGACGAGAGCCAACCATGATCAACTATGCTGGACTATGATCAACTATCCAGAACTATCCCTAGGGCCCTAGGGCTGATATCACAACTGTAATGCGCCCTGGTTTGAGATTTTGAGATGGTCAGAGTGCAGTGTTTAGTGTATATTTAGGACCTGAGTCAACTACAAGACTTAGGGTAGGCTATGCCAGCCACATGCCCAGACGTCCTGCATCTAGTGTTTCAAGCAAAGGGCTCAGAAATGTGAGAAAATGCATGAAATGCATGAACATGCAATATGAGAGACTTAGCCATCAACCCAATCAACCGCTGCCATTGAAATTAAGTCCGTTCTACCCAACCTGCTTTGAGTCGATTGAGGAGCTGAAGATCCGGAAGGAACATTCCACCAGGTTCGTCAATGCTCGTCCTCTTGTACCCAATGATCAGAAACTCAGGATGAGATGATTTGAACATTTTGAACAACGAAACAGCTAAGGGCCTAGGGCGGCCTAGGGGTCTATCCAGCATTCGGACAGGTAGACGAAGCTGGTGGGACAGAACTTGCCCACAAAGACACGCAGGAGACTCGGGTTGAATTTTGGACATGGGTATTTTGAAGAGAGCATTACATGGCAGCTTCGTTTGTCGTGCATTGCCAGGGCAAAACAAGCGCAGAAAAGAACGGGAAGAAGGACAACAAGGACAAGAAGGACAAGAAGGACAAGAAGGATAAAAAAGAGAAGGACAAAAAAGAAAAGTCAAAGTCGAAGTACGTTGGGCATCGCATAGAGAAGAAAAAGAGGAAGCTTCCAACTGCGCAGGCCCGGAGTATTAAGCATGACCAACCCTTCCAAGAATGATTCTGCGCTCTGAGTGCCACCGTTCTGTGTGCGCTCTGTGGCACTCAGGATGACAAAGAGGATGAAATCGACAAGCTGCTGTCCCTTGATTGGCTCCATGAGGCTTGGACAAAGCAACCTTGGCTTTGGAAATCGTTGCAACATGTGAGTTTCAAATGCTCCTTGACCCTGGTTTGGCAAGTGCAGCTTCAATGGTTTGTGTTTCTGTGATCAAGCAGTGACAGCGATCGTAGTTAGCAACTCCGTTCAAGTCAAATGATCTGAAGACCTCTAAGAAAATTCTAAGAAGCTCGCACGCACAGACCACACAACCTCATCTCTCAAGGTATGTCACGATACAAAAAATCCACGAAAGGCGCTGAAACATGAAACCTATATAGCCTATAGGGCATAGACCGTGGAGCTACAGCTTGACGAAAGCAAGTCTCAGAGCACGACGCTTGCACTCATCGTTTGTGGGGTGCTATGGCAGCTTGGAACTGAACTTGACTGCTTGCATGCGCTGAAAACCAGACTAGTGCAAAGAAAATAGCATCAGCTGAGATTGGGATGGACACTGGGAATATCCTCAATAGTAGCTTTAGGTACTGCAAAGCTCCAGTCATCCATTGTACCTTTCTCTATTCTGTGCTTTCAAATGTTGTATCCAACAATTTCATAGATCTTCTAACCATTTTGGCTAAGGCTTTGAATTTTGGCTTTGCACGTTCTGCCACCATTGGATTGGTTGCTGCAACGGTCGGGCTCTCGGTTCAAATTTCTACAGTGCATAGTGACTACTTAGTGTCATCAAATGTCATAATGTCCAGAGCAAAGTGAAGGTCATTGGGCTTGCTGTCAATCAGCGCAGACCTGAGAGGCATGAAATCACTGGTTGCCAGTTAGTTGGTGCCTTTCCCAAGGTTGTTGCACGCTTTTTTGGGCCAATCAGATGAGGAGGTGTTTGCGCACATGGGAATTGCGTTTCGAAGAAAGCCATTTCTGAAACTGGAGATCAAACCGAGAAGTTCCACTTCAGATATCACTTGCAGAGTTCTCGCAGGAGCTGGATGGATTCCCGCGATCCCGCTGGATTTTGTCAGCAGCGATACAGGCCATTCTGTCAGGACTTCTTCCTTTACTTTATAGAATCCTAATGAGCAAATTGAACACATTAACCTCAAGAAAACATACAATATGATTTTGTTTCAATTTTAGTATTATCAATTTCGTCTATTTTGGTTTGCTAGTTACTAGTTTCAAATTGGAAAGGTCCAGATTTTCTGTCAGAGCGATGCGTTCTCACAGTGCGAGAGAAACCCTCGATCAATCATAACATCGATGAACACGAAAGATCTTTTGTAGCAAACGCTCTTTTTGAAATTATTTTGTTGAGAAAAGCCACGCACCAAACTATTGAAAAATCAGAGGCTTTGGAGCAACATACCAACGAGAAATACTGAACAGTTATAATAATATAAGCTCTTTGCTGAGAAGAGCATTTTGTTAGCTAATTGTGTATGAAATTCATTTCTGTCAATGAAGCTGTCTTCAAATCTGTGCAATGTCTTCCCGCAGAACAGGTCGTTTTCATGACATGTCAGCACACCCAAATCAATAAGCCTGTCAGCCCCACTGTCTGTTTCGCGAAGATGCCAAGCCCAGGCTCTTGTGTTTCCGCTACTTGTGTGGCTTTCAGTCATTGGGGCATCTGGTGCTGGCATTGCGTGTAGCTGGAAGCCGAGAAACTTATGTTTCACTATATGGAATCTCCCACAGTGTTCCTCCTGGACGCAAGCCACCCTCGGATTAGAATTTTAATTACAACATTTATATTAATATAACATTATATAACAGTATCAGTAATCAGTATCACCATTTGTTCATTTTGCTAAGCATTGGATTAAGATGGATTAAGTAGACATATACGATACCACATATATATTTCACTAAGTGGTGTCGTAGTGTAGCCTTGCGGAATGCAGCAACGTAAATATGTCGAACGCTGCAGCCTTTGGTTCAAGGGCAACTTACCCCCCGGCCAGCGGGATGTGGCTGGCCGGGGGAGAAAACAGAGAGAAGTGGTTCAAGCACCGCTTCCGGCAGGGGGAAGTGTTGGAAGGGGCAGTTCGCGATGATGCAGGACTGCCGCAAGGAACCCTGCTGGTGGAGGTGCTTGAGCCACTATCTACCGATGCGAAAGGGCATTGGATTCGTGGACGCTACATAGTAGCCAGTGACGGGCATCTGCGCTGGTGGTTCTCTGAAGGCGACGGGAAGAAGCTGGCTGCGCAGTGCAAGTACCACTTCTGCGATGGGCCTGCCACTGAGTGTCTGAAGCTCAAGTCCAAGAAGGGCATCCACATCGAGAGGTTTCGCCCTTTGGGTACCAAGGAGTTCAAGGCGAAGGTGCCGTCGTGGGCATTTGGACGAAACTGCAGTCCGATCATGAAGGCGTACTTCAAGGAGAAGGGCTACGACTTTCAAGCTGAGCCAAAGAGTGAGGTGTTACCCTGGGTCGACCCAGGTGAAGACGCTGAACAGGAGGCCAGCCACGAGACAGAGGCTTCGGGAAGTCATGACTTGAAAAAGAAGCTGGAGGAAGCGCGTGATGCAGTGCGCGCAATTGAAAAGAGGATGCAGAAGGGCAAGGAGGCCAAGAGGCGCAAGAAAAAGGGAGGAGACGCAGAAGGAACCACAAAGAAAAAGGAACGTGGTAGAAGGAGGTCACCCACAACAAGTGGTGAAAGGAGAACAAAGAAGAAGAAGAAGGCCCGAGCCAGTGGGTCAGGCAAAAAGAGAAGAGACCGGTCTGAGGATTCACGGTCACCTCGCAAAGCAAAGAAAGCGAGGCGGTCCTCGTCAGACGAGCAGGGCATTTCCAGCTCGGACAGAGAGGAGCTCTTTGGTGGCAAACGTCATGGAGCTGAGGAAGGCCGTCGTAAAGGGCATCGTGACCGCGGACCTTTCGGTGGTGGAGAGATAGTCAAGTTCCGGGAGGCCACTGAAAGTGAGAGTGAGTCTTTTCGGGACGCCCCCGCGGACCGCAGGGCAGCCACCCAACTCCAGTTGGTGCGGTACGCGAAGAACAAGCCGGGTCGCCTAGCATCTCGCATGCTGTTGAAGATGCAACAGGAAGGCGCCCGAGGAGCCGTGGGGGCGGATCCGGAACAAGTGGGGCTCACCCCACCCGCAGCAGTTCACTACCTGCTGACTGTCATGGTTCCAAAGCTCGGCAATCAGCTCAACATGAGATCCCTGCGGGAGATGAGAACCATTTGCACGGCGCTCGACCATTTGGCCTTACATCGGCCAGCTCAGGCCGCAGATCTTCTCACCCAGCGCCTAAAGGCGCTGGAGAAAGCCACCACAGAGGCCCACTGGGGCTCCGCTCAATTTCTGGAGCTTCTGAGCCCAGAGTCTGCGGGCCTGCTGGAGAGGGACGAGGAAGTGTACACGAATCGGGAGTACCTCCTCGAGATGAAGCTGAAGAACATGGACCAGTGGAGAAAGACTCCAAAAGGAGATCTAAAGGGAGATCGAGAAAAAGGAGGAAAGAAAGGGAAAGAAAAAGGAAAGGCGCAAAGGAGAAACCGAAGGAGGGGACGGCCTGAACCTCCTGAATGATGAAATGGCAGCGTGGACGTCCTCTTGGCGGCGTTGGATGCGTAAGAGCCGGAGCCCCGCACAGTACTTGGCAGGGATGTGGTCACAGGTGAAGTCACTTCCAACGAAGCACGGGTACTTTCTCAGGATTGGGTGCCCCTCGGTGCTGATGCATCTAGTTCAATCCGTGGAGATGACCTGCTACCGATTGACCCAAAGGAGGTGGCGACCTACCTGCTGGACAAGGGTGCGGCTATTGCAGACGGTGTCAATGGGATGATCAACGCTGTCAACTACCTGGCCCTGTGTGGGGGACACGCGCCAGTGCCTGAAAAGCTCAATGCACGGCCCTTGACCCAGGCGCAAGAGCGCGTGGTGGACAACTGCTGCGCCCTGCTTGAACACCTGGAGGAATCAGGAGAGAAGGTTGCTTGTTTTGATGAGGCGATGGCACCCTTGGCGACGGCGCGGTTTGGCTATGATGGTGGACCGATAGTTGTCATGGAGGACATCGATGCTGAGCTGGTGGTTGAGGCATGGCCAGCTGTGGGTGAGGCGGCGGTCCAAGAGGCAGTGGATTTTGTGCCGCCAGAGCTGAAGGCCAGCCTTCTTGACCCTCGTGCTTGCCTTCTTCCGCTCCATGAATGGCCTGACAGAACTCCCGTTTCAAAAGTGAGGGCCAGCGATGAGGAGTGGGAAAAGGTAGTTTCGGCTGCCTATGCAAGAGGGCTCATGGCGCCGGTCGCTCCGTCAGAGGTGTTCGTGGATGCCAAGGGGTCACCCGTGTTGAACGGTGCTGGAAGCGTTCAGAAGATCAAGAAGGTGGACGGCCGGGCGAAGAAGGTGCAGAGGTTCATCAGCAACCTGGTGCCCTCAAATGCCTTTCAAAAACGGCTGGATGGTGATGACATACTTTTACCTTACCTGGGCCAAATCACCCTTCTTGAACAAGGTGAGGATGAAGTTTGGGCACTTGACTCCGAAGATTTTACAAGCTGTTTCAACCTGTTCAAGCTGCCTCCAGTGTGGCGGCGATACATGGCCTTTGGAAAGCTGGTGAGTGCCAAGGCCTTCAATGGGCCGGCTGACGAGATGGTCTACCCGAGCATGTGCGTGCTGCCAATGGGATGGATAGCAAGGCTGGACGATGAGATTTCAGTCAGTGACGCGTCACCCAGCGGCGGAGGAGCTGCGGTAGCAAGGGCCTTCAGGAGGGCCCCACTGACCGTGGAGCATGATGGCCACAGATGTTTGGAATGTGGTACAGTGATTGACCCGGAGGAGAGGTATCCCTGTCCAGCGGAGCGTTTTGCAGCACAGGGACAATGACCATGAGCAGTCGCGGGAATGCCCGAGGCGGGCATGGAAGCCCCCCAAGTTTGGTGAAAGATTCTCGGGGCCGCGGGCACCGCTGAGCCACGCCGTTGCCATGCGTGGTCATGTAGAAGTTCAACCACCGTATGACCTCCATTTTGGCCAGGACTTTTTCTCCGAGCAAGGGCGCCAAGAGCTCAAAA